GATGGATGGATAGATAGATAGATAGATAGATAGATAGATAGATAGATAGATAGATAGATAGATAGATAGATAGATAGATAGATAGATAGATCAACTTCCATACCTCATGCAACTCTGACACTTTTTTTTAAAAAAAGAAACACTTAACAAAGCGGAAACCACTCCAGTCCAAGAGACCAACAACGAAAGACACAGAAACCCCTACAAAGACACCACTGGCAGAATTAATGAAGAACAAAGGTTGGCAGGTCCTCTTGACAATGACAAACTTCTCTTGCTGGAAATGTGAGAAGCGTACGTTTAGTGTACGAGGAACAATAGACTTTAATTATAATAGCCTAGATCATGCACTCTCATGGCCGTCGATTTTGGCACTCTATATAAACTCTGTTTAAATTTCACTGCGCAAAAAAAAACCTCCCCCCGGGGCAGTGCCACTGACTGTAGTGTCTTTAGGCCATTCCCAAAGGGGGGAAATTTCTCGTTCAAGCACAGTAGAATTGTAAATGGGCTGATTCATGTCACGCTCATGACTGTGCCTGATCTACAATCGGAAACTTCTGCTTTTTCTTTCCTACTCCTTAGTATTGTCATTTTCCTCTACTTCTTTTGTATGTTTGTCACTCTCTTGTGACCTGCTATTTCCGGGGTGCCTTGATAGTTGAAGCAGACCTTTTGCTGTTGAAGCTAGAGAGGTGAGCAGAGTAAGTCTGATTCCCTGTAAAGACTTTTCTGTTGACACCCACCCCTTGACGCTCATATGACCTTATGCAGTTGCGGACGCCGTAAAACCCTCTACTATAAAAAAAATCGCCAAGGTGGCCTAAATGAAGGACAAAATATCAGTCTTGTTTTTTGTCATGTGCTCGCAGCACTTTTTCCGCCTAGCCGTTTATTTTGGTTTCAAATTGTGTCATATTATGGTGCGCTTTGCATTGAACAGGAAGTACGTCGAAGTGAATGATCTAGGATAATATTCTACTACATGTCTATGACGAGGATCTTTTGTTATCTCTACCTCTGAGGGTTGTAATTGGATTTACAATGCTTTTATTGTTTTATGACCTGAAGTGCGAAAGAACTCCACTAAAGTCTATGTGTGTTTGTAAGTGTGTGTGTGTGTAATTGGATTTACAATGCTTTTATTGTTTTATGACCTGAAGTGCGAAAGAACTCCACTAAAGTCTATGTGTGTTTGTAAGTGTGTGTGTGTGTAATTGGATTTACAATGCTTTTATTGTTTTATGACCTGAAGTGCGAAAGAACTCCACTAAAGTCTATGTGTGT